CCCTGTTCCAAGAGCAACAGGCCATTTCGCCTGGGGTCCCTTTAAAACTACAGTTGCTACTTTGGAATCTGCAAGGCTACAATAAACTGTTAGCTGGAGTCTTGATATCTGTAAGTTAAAGTCTATAGGTCCAACTAGAAGTCAATATATTGACACGTGCAGAAGAGAGTTTACTTTAAGGCGTTTTTAAATTAGAAAAAAAGAGCATTTTTAGAGCAAAAAACTTTTTTAATTCTAATAAAAATTTCTAAAAAACAACTTAAAAGTTTAATGTCTTTCAAAGATTATCAGTGTTGCTATAAAAAGTACAGAATATAACGGTTAGATGAACAGGTTACTGTTGTTTTATTCACCTAACCTTTCAGAATTTTTATTGCTAAACCTTATGACATGTAATACTTATAAAAAAGCTGTGATAAAAATTTTCAAATTTTTAGGATACACCCAGAAGTTTCTGCAGTCTGTAATTGAGTGATAGTTAAAATTTGAAGTCAGACTGCTGAGATCTTCATGACCACTTAAATTATAAAATGGAAACTAATACTAAACAGAAACTGATTTAACTTAACCAGCAAAATTCTTTTTAGGTGAAGGAAGTTGAAATTAACCAAAAAAAATCCTAAGTAATGACAACAGAAAGAAAAAAATGACAAGTTTTATGAGAGTGTGATTGAAACAAAAAATGATTGAAAGAATGTTTGGAGATAGAAAACAAGTCAAAATGTCATTTATTACTTTTCTAATTTAGAAGTTATTTTGATAAGGGTTTGCTTTTGAAGGCAGAATTTTTCCGTCAGACAATTTTAACGGTAGCCATCAAATACTGGGTTTTCTTTTTTTTTTTTTTTTTTTCAAGCATTATGTAAAAGTATGTAAAATGAATTTGCAGCAACCAGACAAAAAACTAGGTAATTAAAAAGAATGACGATCGTTTGGTACGGAATATCAATATTCTGCTTTCTTATTTACCAGTGGTTTTTAGTGCGGTTGTAAAGTGCCAGTTTGTGGGAAAAAAAAAGTTGCAACTGCATAGGGGCGAAAGTCTTCAACTGGAAAGCTGTTCCGTGGTTTGAACTAGGATGTGCTCAAATTTATTGGCGTGCAGAAAGGCGGTACTGGTCCCGAGAGCGTTACGTCAACATCCTCGTCAGTGATCGATGTTTGGTTGAGGGAACAAACTGTTTGTTCTTTTACCTTTGCTCTAACTATTTTGCTAGAGGCATTTTGTCTACGAGTGTTTAGGCTTGACTGTTCGCTCAAATGCTGTGCTATGTATACCGCCAGTTGCAGGTAGTCTGTCGGTATCTGCCAGGTAAATATTCTGTTTCTATTGTTGACATTAGCAGCAAATTATTTTTTTTTTAATTTCTTTTACAATTATTCGATTATTTAATTTTTTTTTTTTTAAATGTTGTTTATTACTGTATCTGTTTGTTTTATCAATTTGTGTCAGTGTTGACAACAATGATGAACCGATGGTGTAGTAATGTTGAAATTTAAAGTCCAAAAATCACTACTGTTAAATATTATCACCAATATTAACGGCAACATTTTGAAGTGTTACAGCAACGCTGTGAATCGGTTGTATTATTTGTTGGTTGTTCAGAATGTAATACCTGTTAAAACGCTGTATTACTTTCGTTGATATCTGTGATCGAAAAAAAAAAAAAAAAAGGCCCATAAAATTTGTGGTTAGTTGTTGCCCAGTTGTTATTTATTTTGTTGTTGGTTGAATTCTGATCAGACACGTGATCACATTTATATAGTTGTTTCGTTCATCGCAGATGACTGTAATTATTTGCTAGAAAAAAAAGTTTACCTTAATTTTTTTTTTTTTTTGAAGTAGCAAAAAAAAAACGAAAATATGTTGCCAGCAAATGATTTCTGCTTAAATAAAACTTTAAGGATCATTTGGGATAACAGTGATCGTGATGAATTGGTTAACAGCATATCAATGAAAAAAAAACATGTTTGTTCATGTCATCTGTTAATTGTTCGGCTGATACGCTTAGACGTTAGTCATTGTCGACGGGGAGGGGAGGGGAGGGGAGGCCGAAGAAGAATGTTTGTTGTGTTGTTTGAGTGGGAGAAAAAAATTTTTTTTCTCATTGCTGGATAATTTTTTTAGGTGTACGCTTTTTTCTTTCTTATTTTATTTATGTTTTAACAACAATTTATTTGTGTATTATACTTTACTAAATTTGTGGCGGAGGGGAGAGGGGGGGGGGGTTGGGGAAAACGGGGAAAAGAAATTTTTAACTGTAGTTAATTTTCTTCGGCTTCTGTTTTTGGCATATTTCAGCAATATTTCGTTTGTGCCGTTCAAAGGTTATTTTTTTTTCGGAACATATCTTTGATTTTTTTTTTTTTTTAATGGACTTTATTTACGCTGTTGTCAGTGTGTTGATTGATTTGATATGTTTGTAAATCTGTTTGAGGGGTTTAAACCGATTGGACTATTCAGGTGGTCACAACTTATTTATTTGATGAAAGGTGGTGTAAAAAAAAAGACTTTGATTTTTGGCTGAATTATGCGAAACAGCAGCAGCAGCGGCAGCCGCAGTAAAGCACAGCAGTAAGTGATTCTTAACAAAAAAAAAAAAAGAAGAAAATTTTGGTGATTATCAAAGTTTTGTCGAAAAAAAAAAAAGAAGGATGGTACACTCCTTCTTTTTTTTCCTTTTTTTTTCTTTCAAATTATACTTATAAATAAAATGGCTATTAGTTAAATATTTTCTCAGACAGTCAAAGAAAAAAAAATCT